CTTGGGGACTGGGTGTTCGAGGCCAGCCTTTCAGGGTCTCGAGAGGCAGCAAGCGGCGGGATCGCGGGTGCGTGGGTCGCTGGGCGACTTGGTCCCCGGGGCGAGCAGGATGGGGCGCCCACTGGTTGCAGCTGGTGGAGCCTGGGCGCGCACCTGCGGGGCAGCGGAGAGGACTTGCCATCGGGGGAACTTCTTTTCCAGGCCTCCGGTCTACTTTGGAAACGGAACTGCGACTTGAACCTGTAAGCCCTGGGGCCCCGAGGGAGAATTTGTTGGTTTAAATGACAAAAGAAAAAAAAAATGTGTTTGTTGAGACTTTGTAGATCTCGGCTTCAGTTTCCTACCCTCTCCACCTTCCCGGGAGCAAATTAAAAACAACCCCCACCCCCAGACAAATCCAACCAAATAAACCCAAACCCCAAGCCCCAGTCCAACCAAAGCACCGATTTAAAGGGATTTGTGCTGAAAAGAGATCCACCTGAGGAATCATTTTGGAAACCCCAGGTATGATGTTGCCTGGTAAGAAATTGGTTATTGCCGGTGCTATTTCTAGAAATTGTGTTTGCTAACAGAAGATGAGAGTGACTCTTGTAAACCTCAGGAAGTTCTTTAAACAGAAGGAGCTGCCTGGAGTGTCCACAATTATTTAAGTATATTGAAACAAATGCTCTTTCAGAGCTCTGGACTTGGGAGTCAGAAAATCTGAATTTTGATATTATCTGTGATGCTGTGGTTAGCTTAACCTCTGTGGGCCCCAGTTTCTTCATCTTTCAAATGAGAGAGCTGGATTAGGATCATTTCTGAGGGCTTTTTAGTAATATCTAAGTTGTATCCCAGATTTAAAAAAATGTGTAATTCTTTAACTCTTTTAATCTGTTACAAATATTGCTGGTTTCATGAAACATATGTGTGTGTGTTGTGTGTGTATATATATATATGTGTGTGTATATATATATGTATATACACACATTATCTATCTATCTATATCTATCTATCTATCTATAGATGTGTGTGTATCTTGGCATTTGTTTTATATGCATTTATTATTTATATTTTCAGGTTTTCCAGCCCAAAGTTGTAGAGAATACAAAACATTTGCAAATAACTCAGAAATATATAGCTTTTATATGAATATTTAGAACACCCCCCAAACTAACTTTAAGAATCAGGTTTACCTTTAGGTCAATAGTTGCAACACTATTGAAAAAATATGTGGCTTTAGCATAGCACTTATTCTCTTCCAGTATTATACATTTGGAGGAAATAAAAATTGTTTTGGAGATAAACAAAAATTGTATCTTTGCTATCAATTACTGCTTTTGTAGAATGTTTGTTACTTTTTAGCATAAAGTTGTGTACAGAA